AATATAATAGCAAATTTTCGTTTGTTCAGTATAGCACTATCCACCGATATTCGCCAAATGTTTCTTTGCATAGGGGTCCGTGAATGCGACCGTAGATTTCAACGCATTTTATATCGCTTCGACCCAAAGGAACCTCTAATAGTGTTTAAATTTAACCGCGTTTGCTTTGGTTTAAAGTCGAGCCCATTTCATGCGCTACGCACGGTGAGACAGCTCGCCTCTGATGAAGGTCCCTCTTATCCTAAAGCTAAGAGGGCAATTGAGAGTGGGTTATATATGGATGATTTTGTGTACTCGGTCGATAGCGTGGAGGAGGCCATCCTAACCACCGCCGAGGTTATAAAGCTCATGACTCGGATCAAGCTCGATCTCGACAAGTGGACTAGTAATTCGCGTACGGTTTTGGATACAATCCCACTATCACACCGCCTTTCAGCGATAAAGGAATTCGACGATTCTGATACGCACAAGGTGCTCGGTTTGTGTTGGTCACCGGAGTCCGACGTGTTTAGCCTTAAGGTAAACCCGCCCGCAGAAACGTGCACAAAGCGCACAATGCTGTCATGCGTTGCTAGATTATGGGATGTCATGGGTTTCGTAGCCCCGGTGGTGCTATACGCTAAGCTTTTTGATTAAACAACTTTGGTTATGTGAATGCGATTGGAATGACCCGCCGCCTGATAGCAATTTTCGTTTAACTTCCTTTACTAAGCGAAATTAAAATACCACGTCATATAAACGTCGATAGAAATAGCGTCATCACTGTCGTTGGGTTTGCAGACGCTAGCGAGAAGGCTTCCGGGGGCGTTGTATATTTTCACGTCCAGAATAATGGTAGAATTCGATCAGCCTCATTAGCTCTAAGTCAAGAGTCTCCCCCCGTAAGGTTGTCTCTCTCGCGCGCTTAGAGCTTTGCGCGATATTAGTCCTTGCCAAGCTTATCACCGCAGTTACCAGTGCATGTAGTGACAGAGTTCACATAGAAAGAATATTTGCCTTTTCTGACTCAACCGTCGTTTTATTTTGGGTTAATTCTTCACCCCACCGTTGGGATACGTTTGTCGCGAACCGAGTGGCCAAGATCCAAGATGAGTTAGGATCGCGTAACTTTTATCACGTGTCCGGTACGGAAAACCCTGCCGATTGTCTATCCCGTGGACTCACCCCGGTGCAAATAATGGAACATCCGCTTTGGTTTCACGGACCTTCTTGGGTTCACCTGGAACCCTCGCAGTGGCCAATAACCGATTTCGACCCTTCGTCAGTGTCCCAACCACCGGAAGAGAAGAGGTACGCTCTGGTTGCAAACGTTTCGAGCGAGATTTCTCCAATCATTGCTTTGGCGAACCGTTTGTCCTCTTGGTCGAAATTATTGCATAGCATGATTTACGTTTGTCGATTCGCGAAGCTTTTACCGCGACGTTTGTATATCGTAGCGTCCGATTACAGCTATGCCGAGTTGCTAGTATTGCGTGAACTTCAACGTGCGCATTTTTCCGATTAAATTACAAGATTACAATCGAATAGAACTTGTAGTCGCGCTTTTCAACGTCTTAAGCCATTTTTACAAGATGGAATCGTCAGGATAGGTGGGCGCTTGTCTAACTCGCAGTTGAGTTTCGACCAACGGCACCCTATAGTTTTACCGCGTAAGGACCATATCATGAATTTATTAGTAGATTACCACCATAAATTGAATCCTCACACTGGCCCCGACTTTCTGATGTCAATCTTGCGTCAGAATTTTTGGATTCTTTCAGCACGTAATATAATCCGCAATCGGGTGCACAGATGTATGTCTTGCTTTCGAGTACGTCCTAAGCCGTCATTTCCGGAAATGGCGGACCTTAGGTCTTGTCGAGTAACACAATCCGTAAAGCCCTTTATGCACACCGGGTCTGACTTTGCTGGTCCGTTTAAGGTCACGCTCACTCGCGGGCGTGGTATAAGATCCACAAAAGCTTACGTTTGCATTTGCGCATGTCTGACTACTTGGGCTGTGCATATAGAACTCGTTGGTGATCTAAGCACAGCGGGCTTCATGGGTGCATTTAAAAGATTTCTTTCCCACCGTGGCCCTGTAAGTAAATTGTATACGGATAACGGTATAAACTACGTCGGCGCGAAACGTATTTTATCAGAACTACATGAGCTTTTAACCAGTAAATACTATAATTCGGAGTTCGCTCACATCCTAGCCGAGAACCGCATCGAGTGGTCTCTGAACGTCCTGGCCGCGAGCCATTTTGGGGGAAACTGGGAGACTAATATTAAGAGTCTAGAGTCATTTATACGTAGTAATAGGAGATCAAATTTTGTCCTTCGAAGAGTTAAGTACTGTGCTCGCTCAAATTGAGTGCGTCATGAACAGTCGCCCCCTTTGTCGTACATTGTCAAGTGACCCCTCGGAGCCGCTGGCTCTAACTCCAGCACATTTTTTGAATTTAACGCCTTTGAAATATCTGCCCGCCATAGACATGGACGAGAACAAACTTAGTATTTCTGCACGCCATAAATTATTGGACCGGTTGGTGCAGTCGTTTTGGAAACGATGGAAGATGGAATACTTGCATACGTTGCAGTCTCGCCAAAAATGGAACACAACAACTGAACCTTTAACTGTCTGAACTGTGGTTGTGCTCACAAAGGAGAATACGCCGCCTCTCCATTGGCGATTAGGGATCGTCGAAGTAGTTTTTCCCGGTTCCGACGGGGTAACTAGGGTAGCTCGCGTTAGGACCACGACTGGGTCTTACATGCGTCCTGTTGTCCGTTTGTGCCCTTTGCCCATTCAATAGTTTGAATTAGCTTTCTAGATTAGAAATTGTAGTCGAAAATTAGATTTAATCTTAGCGTTAGTTATTTTGAAGGGGACCCTTCAATCCGGGGGGGGGATGGTTACGCGGAAACGATTCGTGTATTTTAATTTTATTCGAGGGTATATTGCCAAGCGTTTGTCCATCCTTTGACCTAATATCCCTTCCGTAAACACTGAAACGGGACGGGGAGGAGTCTAGAAGGTGACGCGATTCTTTCGACCAATGAGAAGCGCGCCTGACCGAGGTGCTTGGTGTGAAAAGCCGAGACAATAAAAGCTCTTGCGCGGCCCTCGGTGCTCGTGCGGCCTCTTCCTTCGCACCACTGGCCTGGATCACATCTCTGGGGCGCCCCAGAAGAACCCACCTCACATCGCATCACCGCAGCGGAAGCGTCGTCCGCCATCACCAGAATCACACCCCGGTAAGTGTTTTCCCGTAATAATGCTCCGACTTGAGCATTTTGTTTATTAATTAACCCGCCCCATTTTATTTCTTCTAATGTGCTCAAGTAGAATCCCCTCCTAACCTTGGCAAGCAATAGATGCATTGTCTAAGGTGCCGCGTCTCACATCCGCCATCTTGTGCATCAGTCCATTTAGTATAACATCTCGCATAATAGGGTCAAGGCTCAACCTGGGAATCGAACTCAGGAACCCTTAGGCCCGCCGCCCAACCAACGTATCCTAACTGATTGTGCGTAAACGTAACACTCATCTGGGAAACTATGTACTCCGCCCAAAAGAGGTGAAATTGCTCACAGCCAAGCAACTCCTTCTATTCATTGAAGACGTAGATTGAAGACGTTGCAGTGAACTATAGACATAGCAGCTATCACACTAGATCTTTTAGGTCGCAGTGAGACTAGTTTCTCTAGACCTGCATAGCGGCTCGCACAAAATAAAATAAATCTATTTACTTTTTGAGTAGTCAAAATCATAAAGATAAAGAACTAATTTTCAATTACCAGTCAAAACATATAGGTAAAGATATTCGAATTAGAAATTGCAAGCGGCTTGCATTTGTTCGATTTCGTGACTTTTATATCATGCAATAAAAATGCTTCTATCCAGTTAAACACAATACAAAGGGCGCGTCGATACAAAGATTTTGATTTTATGATACCAAAGACAGTAAATGTGACAAAATATACCCTTTCGTATAATTTTCAAGTAAGTAAATACAAAAGAGGCAGTTGAGAATTAGACGATCTTAACGTTAGTTTATGCGTTCGTATTTAAATTCCAGAACTCCTAGACTTATTGGCTTATTCATTCAAAAACATCGTAGTAAATACCTACTTTTTTCTAAATAAATTATAGAAGTGAGAAATTTTTAATTTTATTGGTGGAGGCAGTAAAGGCACACAAAATTTTGAAGAGTTTAGTCTGTATTAAACTACAATCAATACTATAGGTACAAGGATATAAAAAATGATACGACTATTCGATATTTCATTACTATTCTTACGATAATTCATTACAAATACTAGCAAAATTAATTAATTTAACAGATAAACTTCAATCACTATATTCATAAACTCTTCAATCACCTTATTAAAGAGTCATGGATATGGAGTGCAGAAGTAAGGAGTACCAACTTCCATAGTAGAATAGTCGAAAAGTGGCCATCTGTAAGCAGTAAATAACAGTTCAAAAACTCTCCACAACAGCGCTGGAGTAGCTACTGGGATGAAATGTACTTAGCAGTTGTCGACGGTTTAAGTGTGCTCCTAAACTGCTCAGTAGCTCTAAAATCTAAAATAATTTTATTTAGTAAATATAACCTCGAAAAAGTCGCCTATCCCACTAATATTTTTCGGTGCGTTCTTTAAAATTTACCCCGTAGTTATAGTAGCGCCACCTTTATTTAATGATTTTCATGGACACTTTTAATACACAGTCTGTACTCCTTACTTCTACACTCCATAGTCATGGAGTATAATTTACAGATCAATCATGTAGTTGTGTATCGGTTGTGTACTTACTAAATACACCTTAAAACGACAGAGACAGTGAGACATAATAATAAGATACTATGGCAACACCAAACTATATTGTCATACTTGTCAATGTCATCTTGCTGTCAATACAAAAATCACAATCACAGCTGACATTGACAAGTGTAATTTAAACATGAAATGCAAAAACAAATCCTAAAAAATGGCATTAAGTTATTTCACAGAGAGCGAAGCGCCGCGAGATTTCAAAGTTTCATCAACAGAGAGCGAAGGACATTATAAAAAATGTGTTTTGTGCTACACGGTGAAAAAAAACTTCTATTGCGCAGAATGTGTAAGAAATGGAAACTTTGTACATTCTTCGATGCCTTACTCTGATAGGTACTATTATATTTTAGTTCGTTATCATTACTGTCTTTCGAAGCTCTTAAAGATGCATGTCAGTTAGAAAATTATAAACTAATACGATATAAATACTAATCTAAGAGACTACATTCTATAGTATTAAACTTTCACTAATTGCGCAATTTGAAGTACTAACTTATATTTGCAAATAATAGTGAAAGTAAATTAACTGAAACGTTCATTTTTCAGATTTGCTGAAAAGCAGGCGAAATTAATGCGCCTTAAAATAAACAGACAGCATGTTTTAGACAGATGTGAAAAGTTATTAGCACCAAAAATTAAAAAAGATATTCTTCTCACAGAAATAAAGTTATCCAGAGATAAGCTGGACTTACTAAGACTGGCAATAGAACAAAGAAGAAGTATCATAGACACAAAGCGGAAGGAGCTAGCTGATACAACAAGTTATAATAATGAATTAAGGCTAAAACTTCCAAGATATCAGAAGAGAGTGACCAGTTTAGGCAGACATGCTGAAAATCAGCGAATAGAACTACAAAATAAAATGAGTACTTATAATGATCAAGCTCAAGCCCTTGCAGCATTGAGGAGGTCAAGAATACGACAATTCACCAAGTATATCTTTCCAGTTTATTTGAGTTATGATTCTAGGTAAGTTACTTCATAATTTTGTATTTGCACAGTTGTTTTGATTTCCTAATTGTCAACAATGATTATTTAAAAATTTTATGCAAAAAAATTGAAATTTTATAATTTTTTAAATTTAGCCCAACCTATTAGTATAAGGCTAAACTTGTAGGAAGAGCTTACTTGCACAAGATGTCTCATGTGACTCTTACGAAAATCTTCATTACATCTGGATGGTATATCATTACAATAGCTATTAGCTAATGCATAGCTGATAGCTATTGTAAATTAAGCTAAGTTGTCTGCTGCATGGCGATGATGGGCCAATCTTCCTATAATGCATCCTATCTGACTCATTTTTATGAAGGACTGTATTTTGCTGTGAACTTAAAAAGATTGTTTTATTTTAAACTCTAGGTTTTCCTTCATAAAAGCATTAAATTTTTGAATGCAAGCTGTGTTCACACAATGATGGTACTTATAGCTGTCAATATAGGTGACAATAACATAGGTAACAGGTAGACTGTTAGTAAGTGGATGCCGTGGTAAATAAACACCTACATCTATCCTAGATTAATAATGAAAATGTAGATGCATAGTTAACCTTGACGAAAACCCCCCAGTAAGAAGGATTTCTGCTTCTTTTATACTTACTGAACTGTGTACTGAATTACTCATAAGAAACTTAATTCCCTAAATACCCGCTCAGGCGGCCAACCGTGCAGCCTGCGGTGGCGCTAAATGGCCATGTCAATTGACACAACATGTGGCCCATTGAGTATTGTTTACAAAAAACTTTATTTATGATTCTACTTCAGGGGGAATGACCCTTGAATGGTGGTTTTTTAAAGGGAATTAATGAATTTTTATTTCTGTACAAGTGCTGTTAAAATTTATAGATTCTTTGAAAAGTAATCAGTGCTAAAGTATTTTGACTTGAATTTTGACACATTGCTTCATTAAAATACGTGTATTTCGAAATTTAAAGCGACGACCAATATATTTTATATTTTTAAATGTATTGTGAATATATTCTTAAGCAGTATTTATAAAAACACACATAGTCTTGGAGAAAATTTTTTTTTCGAGACTCAAAATTCTGTAAGAGTTGAGTATGAAAAATTGTTTCCTCATAAAGTAATTTTTTATTATTTGGCGGATGGATATGAGTGTTTTTAGAACTAACAAAGAATAGGAATTTAGTACAGAATGATTTAAAAATCAAGATTCACTAATTTAAACTGTACTTCATAGGTAGGAAGAACTTAGAACGCAAGATCATTTGGGTACTGAATTACCCATGGCCATTTAATGCCACTTTCGATTTGGGTAATAGACTACCCATGGCCGCCTGAGGGGACACTAAGTAAACTGAGATATAGTTTAAGATAATAATTGCAAATGAGCTACATAGACGTCTTTGGTTGTCATGATCTCAAAACATTCTGAAAATTTACATATAAAAATCCAGTCTGTAAATAATTGTTAACAATGATTGAGTGTATTTGCCAACTTAATCTGTAGTATATTTTATTTTAATAATAATAATAATGTCAGCTAGAACAAACTAGTATAGTGCATGAGTGGGTAAACAAGCATGGGTGCCCTCAATCATTGTCTCAAGCAATAGGATGTGGCACCTGGAAAAAGCTGGAGAAAGATTAAGCACGGGGTTAAAACACCGCCTACTCCCTGGTTGGTTAAACCATTTTTGGCTGATCCTGGAATAAA